TGAGGCAAGAAGGCAGATCCTCAGGGCACCTCAGAGCCTGAGATTCAAAATGAAGACTTTTGGGTTCTCAAACTTTCTCCTCTTTCACCTGGGCCCGAAAGACCTCTCCTGGAGCAGGGATGACTTACAGGACCTCCGGGACCTTGTGCTGCAGGGGCCAGGCAAGCAGGAAGCTGGAGACTGTCGGCTAAAGCCATGGTTCCAGCATCTTCCAGGCAGATGGACTCCTCAAGAGGTGGCAGAGACCTCGATGCGGGTGTACGGGATGCTGGTGGAGCTCTGCCTGTGGCCAAAGCTCAGGGTGAACCTGTCAAGCAGAGAGTGAGTGGGGGAGGGGGGTCTCTGTGGCTCTCTGTCTCTGTGGCCTCTGATGTCAGAGTCTATATGACTGTAGGCACTGAAGTGATGACTGCCAGACCCTGGCAAAGCCCCCTAACTTTCTGTCTCCTCCTAAAGTCATGGCAGACTCAGCTTCCTTGCCCTACAGGCTGGCCCAGGCCCCACCATGCGACCCCGAGTCCCCAGGTCCAGCTTGACACTCCCCTTGGCTGCAATTACATCCTGCTTTACCCCAAAGCTGGCTTCTACCTGTCTTTCTGCCTCCTTAGTGCCTCATCCCAGAGGAGGGGTTCTGGAATATTCTCCCAAGAAAGCCAGGATGGCAGAGATTCCAGGTGGCTCCTAGTATCTGTATCCCCCCTAAGCCTAGTAACAGTGCCCTTTTAATTCTTAGCTGGGCACATGGCTTCCCAGGAGAAAGCCCGTTTCTCAGCCTCCCCCGCATGTAGGTATACCCAGGTTCTGTCTGAAGGATGCGGGTGGGAATGACCCGTGCATCTTTCAGGCTGTGTCTCCCCTCCCCCCCTCCCCTCCCGCAGGCCCCTGGTAAAGTAATTATCGAAGAGATGGCAGAGCAACTGGAGAGAAGGAGCGTGGGACCCTGGATGACCTCTCGAAGCACGGCTGCCACCCCAGCCCTGGTCCCCCTACATCCGGACTATTCTGAGCAGCCAGATCTATTTCCTAACCAACAGGGTTGGGCCAAAGGGGCCTGCAGGGGGGTCAGTCAACACACTGGGGGAGCTCCGCTGGCAGAGCACCCTCTGGGGTTGAGTGGAGCAGGTTGAAGGCTTTTACACTGGACCAGTTCTGCGTCCCTTCCGGGGCTGTGTTGGGCTGGGACTTGGCAGGCAGCTGCAGGAGGTGAGTTCCGACTCCCTCTTAGAATGATTTATTTTTTCAGTCCTTTAGGGCCTCCCAGGAATAGAACGGGCAGTCAGGTGCTGATGATTCCCTTTACTACAAGAAGTAACCAGGGGCATTTGCCAAGGATATGTAGGATGGTAGTGTTTTTAGGTCCTTTTTGCTGCTCCTATTCCTCTCTTCTCTTATTTGAATGGCACAAGGCCCCACGATACTAAGATTCTCCACTCCTCTCTATGATCTGAAGACCTTACATGATTGAGCTCCTACCAACTTGGCTGATCTGATCTTCTACCCCTCCTGCCACCCTCCCTTCCCTCTATTCCAGCCACACTGGCTTCCTTGTGGTTCCTTGCATATGCCGGATACACTCCCAACCTCAAGGCCTTTGCACCTGTTGTTCCCTTTACCTGGAATGCTCCTCTCCCTCATCTTTACATGGCTGTCTCCTTCTCACGAACTTAAATTGCACCTCCTTAGAGAGGCCTCCTCTCTCTAACCACCCACTCTAATTTAGCCACAACCCCCGCCCCTCTGTCCCCCGCTCTGCCAGTCAGGCCTTCTCAACATACTTCACTCTGTTTCATTTTCTTCAGATACATATAACTAGCCAAAATGCTCTTGTTGCTGCATTTGTTGGCTTGTTTATTTTCTGTCCCCCTTCTCCACTAGAATGGAAGCTCCGTGAGGACAAGGACCTTGCCCATCTTACTCGGCCATGTTTCCTAAGGCCCAGACATGGCCTGGCACATAGTAGGGACTTAATAAACACCTGCTGAATGAGTAGATTAAGCCCATAGTTCTGCGTGTGTGACTTTAAAAGGCCACAGTTATACCATTTTCTCTAAGCTTCCATGACTCTAAGATTCTGCTGCTCTGACCTCATGTGATTCCATAACTGCATGGTTTTAAAATTCCCATGAGCTGGGCCTTAAAGTCAAATGAAACTCTGCTGTCGGAAGACACAAACAACTCCAGGAAAACAGCTCCTGTACGAAGACAAGACAAAACCGACGGTGTCCAGGCACTAAGGGAATCAGGAGGAGGAGGAAAACACTCTCTTGCAAAGGGAAAGTACGCAGAGTAAATCCTGAACTGATTTGCTCAGGATTTGATGTGAGTCCTCCCTGAGGCCCAGCTTAGCCCTGTGTCCACTTACCGTCTCTTCTGGAACTGCTGGTCTATCTCTGCCAAGGACTGGCCTTTTGTTTCAGGGACAAATGCATAGATGAAGCCCAGGCCGAGGACAGCCGTCAGCCCGTAGAGCAGGAAGGTCCAGGACAAGCCGATGGTGCCTGGGAATAGGAGGGTGGGAGCGTGGGCAGGGGCGCTGCAAATCAGTTCACTCAAAAGCACATTCTCCAGATGTTTGATGTGCAGAATTAAAACAACAAGCTGTCAGGTAAGTGCCTTAAAGCAGGAGCCGGACTGGTTATCCCAGAGGCAGGCAAAGGGCCGGGGCCCAGACCCGCAAACACAGATTCAGGCATCAGGTCGGTATGGGAAAGCCCACTCACCCACATCTAAAACACTCACCAGAGGAGTGAGGTCATAATCTGAAAACATGAATGGAGAGGAAATGGCATTCACTTCCGCAGCAAAGTAGTTGCAGGACACAGCCTTGGCCAAGCCCAGCCCCCAAACAAAAAACATCCTCCGAAATTCTACAAACTGGTTATTGGGTGAATGAATTGAGCATCCAGGGAATGGAGTTTCAGCCCATGCAGCCTGTGGCTGACTCCCAGACCACTCCCCAGCCCTCGCCTCTTCCCGGAGCCTTGGATGAGGGCCAGGGTCTCAGGGCCAGCAACCAGGACCCCGGGATGACCCTGGCTCCTTTGAAGTCCGTCAGCCCAGGACAGAGAAAGGAGACAGTGAGGGAAGGGCTTTGTGGAGGCAGAAGCCCAGATAACCTTCCAGAGCCATGGCCATTCTCACCTCTAGAGGTCATGACCTCTGAGCATCCTCCCCTGACCAGCTGGGCCTCCACTTAATCCTCACACAAGGCGGGGTGGGAGGGGTGGGGTGGGTGGGGGAGGCTGGAGACAGGCACAGTGGACACGCTCTTCTACCAGCCTTTCCCAGGGGCTGTGCCTTTTTTTTTTTTTTTTTAAAGATTTTTA